AGTCTGTGTCTTTGTTCCGTCCCTCCCATCCTCTTCCCTCCTCTCCTCTTCCCTCCTTCCTCCCCCCCATCCCCTACCCTTCCCTCCTCCCCTCTTCCCCCTCTTCCCCCACCCCTTCCTTCCCCTTCCCCCCGAGCTCACTTTTATGTTTTCCTGGGTGAAAGTGTGCATGGTCGTTTATCACACCTCACCCCTCACCCACCTCACCTTCTCAACTCACCCAACCTACCTCACCTCACCTCACCAACCCACCACTCACTCCACCTCACCCACCCACCTCACCTTCAACTCACCTAACCTACCTCACCTCACCTAACCCACCTGTCTCACCACCTCACCTAACCCACCTCACCTTCCTCAACCTCAATTTAACCTACCTCACCTCACCTAACTCATTCTCACCACCACCTCCTCACCTCACCTCACCACCTCCTCACCTAACATAAACCCATCCAGCTTTTTAACTCACCTGTTTATACAACCCATTTTAAAAAGCACATAACCTACCTGCGTATTTATAGAGAAAGCTGTGTGTGTGTGTGTGTGTGTGTGTGTGTGTGTGTGTGTGTGTGTGTGTGTGTGTGTGTGTGTGTGGTGTGTGTGTGTGTGTGTGTAATCTCTCTCTTTAGTGTCGTCAGCCAATTCAATAAATAACACCCAAAATGGCACAGTAAAGTAAGTTTCAGTCATAAACCAAACCACCATTAGCGCCACCATCTCTCTACTTAATGAATATGGTTAATAAGCCTTAATAGAATCATCAGGAGATAATATTATTCGCTTCGTCACTTCAGAGCAGCTACGTCACTTCGAAGCAGCTACGTCACTTCCAGGCAACTACGTCACTTCCAGGAACGCTTCGTCACTTCCAGAAACAGCTACGTCACTTCCAGGGGCAGCTACGTCACTTCCAGGAGCAACTACGTCACTTCCAGGGCAGCTACACGTCACTTCCAGAGCAGCTTCTACGTCACTTCCAGGGCAGCTACGTCACTTCCAGGGGGAGAGAGAGAGAGAGGAGAGAGGAGAGAGAGAGGAGAGAGGAGAGAGAGAGAGAGAGAGTGAAGAGGTAGAGAGAGAGAGAGAGAGGAGAGAGGGAGAGAGAGAGAGAGGAGAGAGGAGAGAGGGAGAGAGAGAGAGAGAAGAGAGAGGAGTAGAGAGAGAGAGATAGAGGAAGTAGAGAGAGAGAGAGGAGAGAGGAGAAGAGAGAGAGAGAGAGGAGGAGAGAGGAGAGAGAGAGAGGGAGGAGAGAGGAGAGAGGAGAGGAAGCAGAGAGAGAGAGGAGAGAGTAGAGAGAGAGAGAGAGAGGAGAGAGGGAGAGAGAGAGAGAGGGGAGAGAGGAGAGAGAGAGGAGAGAGGAGAGAGGGAGGAGAGAGAGAGAGAGAGGAGAGAGGAGTAGAGAGAGGAGAGAGGAGAGAGGGGAGAGAGAGAGAGGAGAGAGGAGTAGAGAGAGAGGAATATGGAAGAGGTGAGAGAGAAGAGCGTCGGGAGAGTGAATGGGAGAGGTAGAGAGAGAGTTGGAGAGAGTGAATATGATAGAGGTGAGAGTCGGAGAGAGTGAATATGGGAGAGGTAGAGAGAGTGAATATGGAAGAGGTAGAGAGTCAGGGAGAGTGAATATGGGAGAGGTAGAGAGTTGGAGAGAGTGAATATGGGAGAGGTAGAGAGGTGAATATGGAAGAGGTAGAGAGAGAAGTGTTGGGAGAGAGTGGTGTGGAGAGAGTGAGAGAGTTGGAGAGTGAATATGGGAGAGGAGTAAAGAGAGAATCGGAGAGAGTGAATATGGGAGGAGAGAGAGTGAATATGGGAGAGGTGAGAGAGGTTGGAGAGAGTGAATATGGAGAGAGGTAGAGAGAGTGAATATGGAAGAGTGAGAGAGGAGTCGGGGAGAGTGAATGGGAGAGATAGAGAGAGTTGGAGAGTGAATATGAGAGAGAGGTAGAGAGTGAATATGGAGATGTTAGAGAGAGAGTCAGAGAGAGTGAATATGGAGAGGTAGAGAGAGAATGTGGAAGTGGTAGAGAGAGCGTCGAGGAGAGTGAATATGGGAGGGTAGAGAGAGGTCGGAGAGAGGTGAATATGGGAGAGGTGGAGAGAGTGAGTGAATATGGAGGGAAGTGAGAGTGAATATGGAGAGGTAGAGAGAGAGATGAATATGGGAGGTAGAGAGAGAGAGTCAGAAGGTGAATATGGGAGAGAGGTAGAGAGTGAATATGGAAGAGTTAGAGAGAGAGAAAAGGTTGGAGAGGTGAATATGGGGAGGTAGAGAGAGGAGTCGGAGAGAGTGATATGGGAGAGGTGAGAGAGTGGTGAATATGGAAGAGTGAGAGAGAAAAGCAGTGGGGAGAGTGAATATGGGAGAGGTAGAGAGAGGAGTCGGAGAAGAGTATATAGGAGAGAGAGAGAGTCGGAGAGAGTGAATGTGAGAGGTAGAGAGTGAGTGAATATGGAAGAGGTAGAGAGAGTGGTGAATATGGGAGGTAGAGAGTGAATATGGAAGAGGTAGAGAGAGTGAATATGGGAGAGGTAAGAGAGAGAGTCGGAGGTTGAATATGGGAGAGAGGTAGAGAGAGAGAGTGAATATGGAAGAGGTAGAGAGAGAAAGGTTGGGGAGAGTGAATATGGAAAAGGTAGAGAGTCAGAGAAAGCGAATATGGGAGGTGAGAGAGTGAATATGGAAGAGGTAGAGAGAAAGAGCGTCAGGGGAGAGTGAATAGGGGAGAGGAGTAGAGAGAGTTGGAGAGAGTGAATATGATAGAAGTGAGAGAGAGAGTCGGAGAGGTTGAATATGGGAGAGAAAGAGAAGTGAATATGGAAGAGGTAGAGAGTGTTGGGGAGAGTGAATATGGGAGAGGTAAGAGTTGGAGAGAGTGAATAGAGAGGTAAAGAGAGAATCGGGAGAGTGAATATGGGAGGTGAGAGAGTGAATATGGGAGAGGTGAGAGAGAGTTGGAGGTGAATATGAGAGAGGTGAGAGAGTGATTGGAGGTGAGAGAGGCGTCAGGAGGTGGAATGGGAGAGATAGAGGTTGGTGAGGTGAGATATGAGAGGAGGTGGAGAGTGAATGGAAGATGTTAGAGAGGTCAGAGCGTGAATATGGGAGAGGTAGAGAGAGAGTGATTAGGAAGTGGTGAGAGAGAGAGGTCTGGGGAGAGGAATATGGGAGAGGTAGAGAGAGAGAGTCGAGAGAGGAATATGTGAGAGGTAGAGAGTGAGTGAATAGTGGAGGAGGAGGTAGAGAGGAATATGGAAGAGGTAGAGAGAGAGTGAATATGGGAGAGGTAGAGAGAGAGAGCGGAGAGGTTGAATATGGAGAGGTAGAGAGAGAGAGTGAATATGGAAGAGGTAGAGAGAGAAAGGTTGGGGAGAGTGAATATGGAAGAGGTAGAGAGAGAGAGCGTTGGGGAGAGTGAATATGGGAGAGGTAGAGAAAGAGAGTGAATATGGGAGAGGTAGAGAGAGAGAGTTGGAGAGAGAGAATATGAGAGAGGTAGAGAGAGAGAGAATCGGAGAGAGTGAATATGGGAGAGGTAGAGAGTGAGTGAATATGGAAGAGGTAGAGAGAGTGAGTGAATATGGGAGAGGTAGAGAGTGAATATGGAAGAGGTAGAGAGAGAGTGAATATGGGAGAGGTACAGAGAGAGAGTCGGAGAGGTTGAATATGGGAGAGGTAGAGAGAGAGTGAACATGGAAGAGGTAGAGAGAGAAAGCGTTGGGGAGAGTGAATATGGAAAAGGTAGAGAGAGAGAGTCAGAGAAAGCGAATATGGGAGAGGTAGAGAGAGAGTGAATATGGAAGTGGTAGAGAGAAAGAGCGTCGGGGAGAGTGAATAGGGGAGAGGTAGAGAGAGAGAGTTGGAGAGAGTGAATATGATAGAGGTAGAGAGAGAGAGAGTCGGAGAGGTTGAATATGGGAGAGGTAGAGAGAGAGTGAATATGGAAGAGGTAGAGAGAGAAAGCGTTGGGGAGAGTGAATATGGGAGAGGTAGAGAGAGAGAGAGCTGGAGAGAGTGAATATGATTGAGGTAGAGAGAGAGTGAATATGGGAGAGGTAGAGAGAGAGAGTGAATTTGGGAGAGAGAGAGTCAGAGAGAGTGAATATGAGATAGGTAGAGAGAGAGAGGGAATATGGAAGAGGTAGAGAGAGAGAGTGTTGGGGGAGGAATATGGAGAGGTAGAGAGAGAGCGTTGGGGAGAGTAATATGGGAGAGGTAGAGAGAGAGAATGATAGAGGTAGAGAGAGTCGGAGAGGTTGAATATGGGAGAGGCAGAGAGAGAGGAATATGGAAGAGAGAGAGAGAGAGTTAGGAGAGGTAGAGAGAGAGTGAACATGGAAGAGGTAGAGAGAGAGAGAGAGAGTCGGAGAGAGTGAATATGAGAGAGGTAGAGAGAGAGTGAATATGGAAGAGGTAGAGAGAGAGAGTGAATATGGGAGAGAGAGAGTCAGAGAGAGTGAATATGAGAGAGGTAGAGAGTGAATATGAAAGAGGTAGAGAGAGAGAGCGTCGGGGGAGAGTGAATATGGGAGAGGTAGAGAGAGAGAGTGAATATGGAAGAGGTAGAGAGAGAGAGCATTGGGGAGAGTGAATATGTGAGAGGTAGAGAGAGAGAGCATTGGGGAGAGTGAATATTGGAGAGGTAGAGAGAGAGAGTCGGAGAGAGTGAATATGGGAGAGGTAGAGAGAGTTGGAGAGAATGAGGATTGGGAAGATATAGAGAGAGAGTTGATAAATGAGAGAATGAAATATAAGGTCAAATTCCCTCAGACTGTGTTATTGAGGAGGACTAGAGAGTGTAGAATGCACAACTAATACAATGGTAACGTGCTGCAGGGACCAAATAATACTTTAAGAGTTGGACCTAGTAGAGAAGAAATAATCTAGGGTTTGTCCTGGTCATGGGAGAGTGAGGTTATGTTTGTATTTAATTGAATGAAACCATCGACAATTATAAGGAATTTAATTTAGATGTGTCTGCTTGTAGTGGAGGAGAGTAATAAATAGAACCAGTGTATATTGTGGACATTGAAATCACTCGCGATTATAATTTAAATAAAAAGATTAAAGGAAAGAATGTTTTCAGTTTTAGAAGTAAATTAGTTAGAGTATTGGATCACCGGTGTGCTGTGTATTTAGGGAACTAATTGATAGAACAGCTTCTTTTTTACCACAAGTACTTCAGTCAAGATCCTCACATCACCTGCAGGGTTTGTAGATGTCCTTCTTGCCATCTATCAACTCGCTTTTCCTCATTTCCATCTACTTGTTTGTATACAACATACATTTACCATTTTATAGCTCAGTGTCTCAACAATCTCACCTGAGCTCACCCCGCATAGTATCAACATTCTGAACCTATCTACTCAGTATGTCACGTAGCTCTACTTTGCTTTCATGCTGTTACCTTGAATAGGTGATCTTACAGTGTGTAGATGCTTCATGCATACCAGGTTAATTAAGGATCTTTGGCTTATAGTTAGGTTAATAAGACATGGATATAGTCCCGCTGCTCTCCATTGCTAAGCCAGTTACTTGTCTGATGCCAAACTTGATAATGTAGCAAATGCATTCCAATGGGGTCAGGGTGACCTACCACCTCCAGCCTCAGGGCCACCCTTCTTTGTGCAACACGTGTTAAAGCTGACTATGGTAATATGCAACCTGATGAAGAAGCAGCCCTCAGAGTGCTACCCTTGAGTTCGGGCTCTTACACTGTCAGTAGGAACGTCAGTCTGCAAAAGCTCTCGCCTGTTATCCTCTGGAGAAGCAGCGCACTAGCCCAGAAAATGCAGCAGAATCCAGGGGAAAACACGGCTCTGTTGTCCCAGATGCCATCAGACGAGTTTGAAGCCGATTCTGTGGCTGTGTACTCTTCTTAACATCAACCCACTTTTACAGAGTAGGAGCCGGGCTTTATACGTAGGACTTACTACAGTTGTGCCCTCTTAGCTATTCCCTCAGTAATCAAAGATTACCTGCCTACTTACAAGTGTTCTGAATATTCAAATTAAAACCTTGGCCATTCCCTTGCAAGATGAAGATTACCAGTAAAGGAATTTAATAGTGAACTAACGTATCTTACTTTTTCAGATATCTTCGGCAACCCAGCAAAACTAAAGAAGGGGGATACAATCACACTCAGTGGAAAGAAGAAATCAAGCAAGAAACAGCTAATTAAAAATGCATGCAAGGTTATATAGAACCAAAATATAGATGAGGTCATTTAATGTTACTATATAGTCATCAGTATAGCCAAGACCATTGGGGTCACTGTATAAAGCTTATATAGAAGTAAGAGTACCAGCAAGGTCATGTCAGGTCACTGTATACAAGGTCAGAAGTAAGAGTACCAATAAGGTCATGTCAGGTCACTGTATACAAGGTCAGAAGAGTACCAATAAGGTCACGTCAGGTCACTGTATACAAGGTCAGAAGTAAGAGTACCAATAAGGTCACGTCAGGTCACTGTATACAAGGTCAGAAGTAAGAGTACCAATAAGGTCATGTCAGGTCACTGTATACAAGGTCAGAAGAGTACCAATAAGGTCATGTCAGGTCACTGTATACAAGGTCAGAAGTAAGAGTACCAATAAGGTCATGTCAGGTCACTATACAAGGCCAGAAGAGTACCAATAAGGTCATGTCAGGTCACTGTATACAAGGCCAGAAGAGTACCAATAAGGTCATGTCAGGTCACTGTATACAATGTCAGAAGTAAGAGTACCAATAAGGTCATGTCAGGTCACTGTACACAAGGCCAGAAGTATGAGTACCTATAAGGTCATGTCAGGTCACTGTATACAAGGTCAGAAGTAAGAGTACCAATAAGGTCATGTCAGGTCACTGTACACAAGGCCAGAAGTATGAGTACCTATAAGGTCATGTCAGGTCACTGTATACAAGGTCAGAAGAGTACCAATAAGGTCATATCAGGTCACTGTATACAAGGTCAGAAGTAAGAGTACCAATAAGGTCATGTCAGGTCACTGTACACAAGGCCAGAAGAGTACCAATAAGGTCATGTCAGGTCACTGTATACAAGGTCAGAAGTAAGAGTACCAATAAGGTCATGTCAGGTCACTGTATACAAGGTCAGAAGTAAGAGTACCAATAAGGTCATGTCAGGTCACTGTACACAAGGCCAGAAGAGTACCAATAAGGTCATGTCAGGTCACTGTATACAAGGCCAGAAGTAAGAGTACCAATAAGGTCATGTCAGGTCACTGGATACAAGGTCAGAAGTAAGAGTACCAATAAGGTCATGTCAGGTCACTGTACACAAGGCCAGAAGAGTACCTATAAGGTCATGTCAGGTCACTGTATACAAGGTCAGAAGAGTACCAATAAGGTCATGTCAGGTCACTGTATACAAGGTCAGAAGTAAGAGTACCAATAAGGTCATGTCAGGTCACTGTACACAAGGTCAGAAGAGTACCAATAAGGTCATGTCAGGTCACTGTATACAAGGCCAGAAGTAAGAGTACCAATAAGGTCATGTCAGGTCACCGTATACAAAATTGTTGTCAGGAAAGGCCATATATTTAATGGTATGGTAAAAAAAAAATATTTATTATTTTATTAAACCTTTCACTGTGGAAGGCCAAAAAGATTTGATTATTTCCCTCTGTAGCAGTTTTTCCAAACATTAGGTCTCCATAAAGTGTAAAGTCACCCTGAGTTACTGAACATGCCTCAGTCTCCCTGAATGTATTAAGTTATATGAGTAATGGTGTGGCGTGACGTGCGTTGATTCCCATGTCCAGGTTTCTGTCACTCTTCTACATGTTGGTTGGACCAGTTATAATCACAAGAACTTGAAATATTTATATATTCTTCCTTTATAATTTTTTCCTTCACATTTTGAGCCGCTGCCTAGGGACTACAATGGTTGTGTTCTTGATGGATACTGACCATTACCACAATTAAAGCAAATATCATCTATGTTTATGGTAGAATCGAGTGATGCCAACAGAAAGGATTTATAACCCCCAGTTGTTTTTCAGAGTGCTAGGTATATATTTATCTTTAGTATCCGACCCATAAGTATCACAATCACAACATACAGATTAAGATATTGTCAGGTGTACAGGACAGCCACAGTGAAAGAGTTAAGAATAAATAAAAGATTTAATATTGGTTCATGAGAGGTGCAGTAAGTGCCTGAAGTACAGTAAATGTCCAGCTGATCATCCTTGTTGACTTGGTGATAAATGAAGGGTATAGAGTTCTTAGATGACTTTGTAAGATACTACACTACACTAAAGTATTATGCTACACTACATTACACTACACTACCCTATGCTACACAACATTACACTACACTACCCTACTATACACTATCCTACACTACACTACAATATTATGCTACACTACACTTTGCTATGCTACACTATGTTACACTACACTACACTAAATGAGTTTTGTACAATTATTTCGTTTTTAAAAATTTAATTCTATTGTAAGTGTTGACAGTGTAGAAGATAGACACACCATTATGACCTAGCAGCTGTAACCGCTACCTACCGGTATTCTAGTGCTTTAATTATTATAAATTGGCTTCATCACTGACCTAAATCATATTAGCCTTTGTTGTGTCATGAAATGTTTCCATTCCTTTTGAAAATTAAAGCATAATTGGTAAGTAACTTGTGCTGAAACTTTCAGCAGAACTTTAAAATAATCTAATTTGTTTTATATATGTACTGTACTTGTTCCAAAAATTATCTCAATGATTTTATGTTAGACAATATGATGCAACGAACAGGAGTCGCAGTTTTCATTTTGAAATTCTTCAGACCCTTCTGTAAAGATACTTTTTGCAGTGTGTGTACATTGCTTGTACTACCATTTATTGTCTATTTGACCAAAGGTGTTTGGTCTGTCCATCTGTAGCCAATTAGCTTTCTCATGTCTAGAGTACAGTATTAAGTGTACAGTTGGACCATAAATTATTTTTTATCCATTTGTTCGATATATTTCAAAATGAACACCACCTCTCCTGTTGTCTCGACAGGGTTGGTAAGAGTGATTGCAACGTCATTTTGCTTATCCCCATTTTACAAACATTTGAATCACATTTCGAAACATAAGATTACACAGAAAAGGAGTAGCTTGACTACCACAACTGAAAATTGTTACAAGTTCTTTATATACATGACTGTCAGTTTTATACGCATTACTGCACTGTCAGTTTTATACACAGCACTGTCAATTTTATATACATTACTGTCAGTTTTATACACAGCACTATCAGTTTTATGCACATTACTGTCAGTTTTATACACAGCACTGCCAGTTTTATACACAGCACTGCCAGTTTTACACACAGCACTGTCAGTTTTATACACAGCACTGCCAGTTTTATACCTGCCAGTTTTACACACACCACTGTCAGTTTTACACACAGCACTGTCAGTTTTATACCTGACAGTTTTATACACAGTACTGCCAGTTTTATACATGGGACTTCTGTTTCATTTTTGTTGAAAGTGTAACGAGATTCATCCTACAGAAGGCTAATGCAAAATTGACATGTAATAAATATATTTAGCATGTGTTGTCTTAACTCTCAGAATGTGATCCATACCTTGCCTGAAGTGTGTTAAATGATCCTTATATTGTCTGAAGTGTTACGTGATCCATACCTTATATGGAGTGCATTAACTGATCCATACCTTATGTGAAGTGTGTTAAATGATCCGTTCCTTGCCTGAAGTGTAATAAGTGATCTGTTCCTTGCCTGAAGTGTATTAAGTGATCCGTTCCTTGCCTGAAGTGTGTTAAGTGATCCATATCTTTTCTGAAGTGTGTTAAGTGATCCGTACCTTGTTTTAAGTGATGCAATAATGACAGCATAACACAGGCTGGTCTTATATTTACTCAGCTATGTAATTATTATGATAAATCGGTTTTTTTAAGGTATCTAAAAATATTTATCAAGATTCTGCGATACTGATGGCATGTAGCTACACACACAGTGTTGAATTATGGTATAAGGTTTTATTTTATTTTACCATGCTCACCAGTTGTCAGCTTAGTAGCCTGTGAGGCTGTCGGTCAGTTCTCTCTTACACACTGCTGGCAAGTACTGGACACGTGTGGCATGCTGAATGTACCCCAAACATCTTCCAGGGTTGGTACTGTCACAATGCTCTCCTCAAGGTGTTGGTCTCCTAATTCTTGGCATTCAGTGTGGAGTGGGTTATTTCAATGTGCCCATAAGTTGTTTCATCATCAGTGAGTTCACCTTCTTGTGCATTAATTTATTATTGAGTGAATACTGGTTGTGAATCAAACCAATTTAGCTATATATATACAGATAGACCCCGACTTACGACGGGGTTAGGGACCCAAATCCAGGTCGTAAGTCCGACATAGATAAATTTTTTTTTTTTTTTTAATAAAAAATCTACAATGAAATACAGTACAGAAAAAGTAATGAATAATGAGGAATGGATACAGTACAGTGAAAGTAATAAATAATAAGGAATGGATACAGTGTGACTGAGCACTTACCTTTAATGTAGTCAGCTGAATGCACATGGGGCCCCCATAATTGTCTAATTATACATGGAGACTACATTAACTGGAAACGTTTCGGTATAGAAAATGCGTGTCATTTGAGAAAAAAGAAAAAAAAAATTAATAAAAAATCTGCGGCGGTCGTAAGTCCCGACGGTCGTAAGTCGTAGCAGTCGTAAGTCGGGGTCTAGCTGTATATATATATATATACTGTATACAGTATAATGTGTGTGTGGGGGAGGGAGAAGTATTAGTGCTTCATGTAAAACAGTGAAACCTGTTTAGAAATTTTGTTCAAGTTGAGCGGAAGTTGTAATGTATTACAGTAAGTCCCTAACTTATGGGTTACGAATGGACTAACTTTCCAAAAAAAAATCGTTCTGAACTTGGAACTCAATTACTCATAAACACAATGTTTTAAATGGTGGTCAGGTTCTCAAGTCACATCACAAAAGCCTATTAAACCCTTAATTATGTTGATATATTATACAGCTGTACTCAGTGTGAAAGGCTGGCTGTGAGGGAAGTGGCATATGGGCAAACTGCTCACTTTAATACTGTACTCTACCTGATCCCTGTGACCCACACTCTATCTGACCCCTGTGACCAACACTCTACCTGACCCCTGTGACCCACACCCTACCTGACCCCTGTGACCCACACCCTACCTGACCCCTGTGACCCACACCCTACCTGACCCCTGTGACCCACACCCTACCTGACCCCTGTGACCCACACAACTGTGATACCATAATGTTCATACTGGGAAACTAATACAGTATTCTGTAGCTGTATTGTGGTTATTGCTAGTAACACATCCATTATCTATTGTGCAATTGTATTGTGGTTATTGCTAGTAACACATCCATCATCTGTTAATCATCTATTATGTAACTGTATTGTGGATATTGCTAGTAACACGTCATCATCTGTTATGTAACTGTATTGTGGTTATTGCTAGTAACACACCATCATCTATTATGTAACTGTATTGTGGTTATTGCTAGTAACACACCATCATCTATTATGTAACTGTATTGTGGTTATTGCTAGTAACACACCATCATCTATTATGTAACTGTATTGTGGTTATTCCTAGTGTTATGGAAACTGAGCAATCAAGAAGGCAAATGTCTTAAGTCACTTTATTTTAACCATTACTTTTATTTTAATCTCAAAATTTAAATAATTTCTTTACCTGTGTGTGTCTAGGGGCGTTTTGGTTGAATTAATTTAGTTATAATACCTTGTAAACTCATGCCCAATTATGTAACAAGTGACAATCTGTTTGTATTATACAGTAAACTTTACAAGTGACTATTTACTGTAGGATTAGTTCTTACAGCATCACTGGGCTTAATTGAATAGTTGATACCACACTCATGGTTAACAAGACATTACCCAACACAGTTTAAATATTAGGACATGAAAAATATGCAAGTGATTTTTTATGTTATACTTAAAATAAAATAGACACAAAAACATATATACAAAGATGAAAAATAATGTACTCAGCTGTACCAATACACGTGACAACTAGATGGTCAGTAGATTCCTCGTGTACAGGTTAATATATAATGACTAGGTGGGGAGAAGGTCTTACTACAGGGCATTTCAACATAGTGACAGTGCAACAAGGTAAGATTGACTGGGAGTGACTACACTGGTTGATTACAAGTTATTGATAATTTTTACAGTGGTTGGGACTGGACTGTTCTTATAGCCATCAGTTCGTGCTCGAATAGGCTGGATGCAGTTATGGTGTTGAACAGCAATTCTTGGACGAGGGATCTCGGGGGGTAGTAGGAGCCGGTGTCGAGGATGGTGCAGAAGCTTCTCACCAAATTTGCAGATGAGGTCGTGGTGATGGTCAGAGAGAGCCGAGAGGGTCAGTGTGTTGAGTGCTTCTTGATGTGTGGAGTAGGAAGGGGAGAGAATAATCTTGCATGCCCTCTTTTGCACTTTTTCTAGGTGTTTCATTGTGTGGAATTTAGGGAGGAAAACCAGGCAGGGGAGGCATAGGTTAACTTGGGAATTATGAGTGTTGAGCAAACACTGAGGAGCTTGGGCGCAGGAACTCCGAAGGCTTTTTTTTTTATTTGTGTGTGTGTGTGTGTGTGTGTTGATATTTGGCTGACTATTTGACTCCATAGTTAAAGAGTTCTAGGCCTCTATGTATTGTAATACGAACCCATCAGTTGTATGTGTGAGTCTGTGTCTTTCTGCACCCAAGTAGTAATAGATTTATATTGTACTGAAAGTTAAATATCCTGGTTGTATTTACTCAGATGGCATATAAAAGTTTTTGTTTCAAGTCTAGTGTAACCTCTATTTAACGGACTACGAGTATATGGAAAGGAAAAATCGTTATACCGAGGGCCTGTTATATGTGAAACCTCCATCTCATGTACTTTCATAACTTTTATTTGAAACATTAACAATAATTGAACTTCGAAATAGCTAAACAATTAAAATGGTTGACAGATGTCTGGTCATGTGCAGGGCAGTAAAAACCACACAACAATTTAACTTTATTAACAGTCTCTATAATAAACTCAGGTCATTTGTGAAACAGCAAAACAAACAACTATTAGTAAGCATAATAAAAGCATAAGTTATTGGTACAGCATAACATAATATCACTAACATTAAACAAATCACAAATTATGGCAGCACAAGTAACCTGTCTAATAACATATCGATGATCTGTTATATATAAAGCCCCATCTAATAGATTACAGGATGTGGAGACAGGAGTTTGCCATTATAGAGGTTTCACTGAATTGCTAAAAGTGTTATCATAAATCTATCATAATATAAGAACACATCAGTAATTGAGATATGGTATTATTAATTATTTAACATTTTCAGTAATAACACATAGGGTCAAGACTCAGGAGTAGCTTAATGTCTTAAAACACCTTCGTCTCCTAAATCACTTAAGTTTCACACTGTAAAAGTCTTACCCCGTTTAGTATGAATGTGGGTAGTGTTTCAAAGTCTTAATAATGTTATGGAAAATTTATATATATATATTTTTTTTTACTTGAACATTGGGTTTTAATACAGGCATCCCCATGCATTACGGAAACATGGGTTACAGAAATTCGAGCTTACAGGATTTGGAAATTATGAGCCCAAAATTTGGGATATGCCCCCCTCCCCAAAAAAATTCCCCTTGCTTGTATTATGTTTTTGGCTGAAAAAAAATCCTTATATTATATGCATCTCAAATTATAAAATGGGAGTCAATGGGAAAATTGGTCCTGCATTACGGATAAAATTTTCAAGAACTGAACCCTTCTGCAACATAGGGGATGCCTGTATTGACAGGTTTATAATTTTGGGCTTGAAAAAGGTGATTTGTTGTTGTTCTTTGATATATGTTGGAGACAGTTTAGTAAAAATTTAATAGTTTTTGTCATCCTCTGAACTCCTCTTTCGAAAGCATTCACACATATAACATAATTTAGTTTATCACATTCTTTATATGATGTAGAAAGCTAAGGCCATGTTAAATAGACCTAAGGATGATTATCTCCCTCTACCTGTGTTTTACTCCAGGTAATACTCACTATGGTCAAAATCGAGTTCCTTTAGTAAACATGTGGGGAAGAGCCTGTAAGAGTTGGTAGTATCGGGTGAACAATGTCGCCTCCAAATCAGTGCCATAATAATTTTCCTTCTCTTTTAGTTATCATAATCTTGTGTCTTATTTAAACCACTGATTTTAAAAGAGCAAACGGTATTGTTAAGGGGTTATAGAAGGGGTTTAAAGGATTATATCTGGGGTTTAAGGGGTCATATCTGGAGTTTAAATTAAATTACCTCATCTTGTATACAGTAATTAATTTTGACCTGTTGAGCACTGCATATAATCCAGGTTATACTAATGAAATGATGCAAATTATATTTATTGTACATGGATTTTTAACTGGGATGTGTACAATTCACAGTATAATGAACAGTGTTATCGTGAGTAAGTAAAGTGTGACTTTTACTTACTTTTATCCTCTTCACCACTGATCAGCTCGTTAGCCGCTTGGGCGGTCTGTCATGCACTGTTAGCAAGTACTGGGCCCTCCTTTGGACATTTTCAATCAGTTGACAG